TTCATTTCTTTTGCCAAATTTAGTTTTTTAATGATCAAATAAATCGCTAAAGTTACGATTAAACAAACGTATTAGTCCTTTGGAAAAATCAGTATTGGCAGACATATCTAAACCAAAAGCCAAACATATACTTTGTTGGTCCCTTGAGGGTCTACAAGATAAGTAAAGCAGTTTGTAGAAGGAGGGGGGGTGAATACAAACATAATATTTTTAAATTTAAAATGTATATTGATAAAAAAGGATCAATACAAATTTTACAAGACTGTTTGCGGAAAGATAAGGTAAGAAAACCTATTTAAACAATCTTTGATTACACACAGATTCTTAGCAAATGAGAAAAGAAATGCTGTAAGAAAAGTTCCTTTACTTAAACTAGAAAATGCTCAAAGTAAGAATTAGGTTTAGCGAGTGAGCTGCGCGCGCTCTGCATGGAGAACAAACACTTCTATTTATACCCAGTGCATTAAATGTTCATTTAATGCAAAATGATAGGGTTAGAGTATGTGTCAAGCCTTAAGAGGAAGGTTTGTCATTTGCTACAGTGAATAGCACAAAAAACACTATTCATGAGCAGACATCCTTACCTAAAGTTGGTGGGCAATAGAGTCAACTAGTCGGCTCCATACCGTACCAACGTTTAGAAGGGTATGGGTTTGTCCTTTGTGTGTATAAGGACAAGACAACAACAATCGTGCTAAGCAAGCTTCATTTGATCATTGAATGCTAGAATAATCTGGAGGTCTCTTCAGCATTCGCTGAGGCTTGAGCAGTCTTCACACATATGTAGACAGGCTTGTAATTACTGAGTACCACTTCAGATCACATACTCGCCCGTCCCTAATCTTTAGTTTCAGTCTTCAACATTAGCTGAAGGTTTTTTGGTGTGAGTGTTGTCTTCTATAAGTATCGCTGTCTCTGATTGAATTAGAATACAAGTTCCTCAGCTATCACTGAACAGGCTCAGTGATGATCGCTGGAACTGAAAAGACAGAAACATAAATACAACGTATAAGTGAAAAAGGATTATCATCAAATCACTGAGAGAGAGGATCAACAATCTCCGTCTATTTGATGATAACAAGAAAACATAAAGAAAGTTGTCTTATCAAATAATAGTAAGGAAAAGTTACATATAAAGTACATGTCCCCTTTTACTATTTTCGGATCTTTTTAAGTGAGTCGGTCTCAGCTTGAGAATTTTCCTTAAGTTATATCTAAGAGAAAATTACAAGTATGGAAACTGAAACTGAAAGCTTATTCGCTGACTTAGAGATTGTTAGTGAATGTAAAACGTAACACTGGAACTCATAGACTTGTGTCTCTATTATTTTTTTTAGGGATTTTTTTTCAGTGAAGTACATAAAATACTCATTTTATTATCATTGATAATATTACAAGTATTACAGTACATGTCTAGTGCTTACAGACTATAAGAATAATCACTGAAAGTAGACATAGTACAAAAAGTTACAAGGAAARGTAGATTGTTGTTACAAAGAGAAAACTATTCTAGAACACTTAGATCTATGTAGCTAGGTACATCTTCACCAAGGTTTCTTCGACGTAGGCATTCCCTTCGTATCTTCAGATCGATGACTTTTCTAGGCATGCTATCATCTATCCAAAGCAAGAGGTAAACCAAATGACTCATTGGACATAAATGTAACTCTGACATTCTCTGAAATCTGACTTCACCTGCATAGTCAAGGAATATAACTCCTAACTCAGGTTTAAGATGCACAACATTGGGTGTATATGGACCCTTATCTGGCAAGTCAAGATTCTGCATAGAAATGTTTGTACTCTGGTGACCCTTTAGGACTTTATCTAAGGAGAACTTTGTTTCATGTTCGTTCCTTAGGAATGGTCCATCATTAGGATCAGATAGCTTGAGTCTTCCCACCTTTCTTCAGAGATGGCCTGTCAGGGACCGCGACATACCTGGACATCCTTTTTATGAGCTCGTTGATGGTGTCCTCGATAATTGTCTTATGTCTCGACTTGGATTGCTGAATGGCTTGCCTGATCTCCATCCATTCGCTGTATCCATATTGGCCAAGGTAGGAAGGGTACTCGGTGATGGCATCGAGATTGTCCCTGGTAATGAGCATTGGGACTAGTTTTTCACCGTCTTTTGAACGTCCGCTGATGCTGACGTTGATAATCGGGCGGGGACTGATTCTCTTCTTCAACTTTGCTTCGCTCCACCGCTTGTCCTTTTCTACCAGCTTCAGGTTCTTCTCATGCTCAGCTTCTACAATAGAAAGAAGTTTAGCCTGGGCTTGGACAACATTCACCTTTTTCTTGGACTTTCTCTTGGAGAGGACCTTCGCAGCTAGTGACTTGGCAAGCTTTATGCCATCTTCAGTCTGCTTCTTCTGAAGCTCTAGCCCTTCTTCAGCCCGCAATGCCTCGAGTCTTCCAGCTTCAGAAAGGAAGTCGAACTCAGCACCACTAGAGGTACGAGAGGAATTTTTACTCGAGTCATCTGCTGGTCGGTAGGAGCACTAGAGATAGGGTGATCAGGGACCCACTCTAGTCGATTGCAGGTGGTTGATGGAATTTAAAGTTGATACTTTGAAGTGATTACTACCTGAGAGGTAGAATCTTCAAATAAAGGTTGTTGAGGGATATTGAACAATACCTTCAAGTTTCCTTCTTCAGCGACAACCTTGCCTTTAGACTTAGGGTCCTGGTTCCCTGATGGAGTAGATTCACCTTTCCTTTGCTTCCTCTAGGATGCAGAATCCCTGAGGGTGACTCCCTTGGTGGCGGTTGATGGCTTCTAGTACTTGATGGTAAAGTCATCTTCATCATCATCGTCCTCGTCACCATCTAGGTCACTTCCGGGGCCTGGAATGGTAGATTCATCATCTTCATTGTCATTATCTTCGTCGTCATCATCATCATCATCATCATCATCACCAGCAGCGATGATGGAAGGAGCATCATCTCTAGGGATGGCATCGACAACCTCAGCTGAAACAGCTTCGGTGGTTGGGATTACAGGAGCAGCAACCGCTTCAGCTCTAGGAGCCTTAGCTTCAGCTTCAACTATAGCTGATCCTAGACCAATAGCCGCATAAGGAGCAAGAATATCATCAGATGATCCACCAGCATCGAACCTCATCTCCCCCTCTCTGGCTAATACTTGAGAGAATTTGTCAGAGAGTTCGTCCAAGCGCTGACGCTGGAGAACCATTACCTCCTCTAGCCTTGATAGAGCACCGGCTAGAGTTGTCGTTGCCTCATGCGTCTCATAGAGCTGGGCATGATCATCGGCATAGAAAAAAGGTGGGATCACTGGAGCTGGTTGACGGACAGCATCTAGGATATGCTGAAGAAGTCCAGTCTGCTGAACGGCGATAGCCTGAGCATCGTCAGCCCTGCTGGAGAGAGCAACAATGGCGTCGGTATTGGATTGAACAACTTCTTGGAGAGTCAGGAGGTGACTCTAAACTTCTTGAACGTCCGCCTGGATAGCGAGGAAGCTCGCATCAAGGTCAGCCTGGCGGGGCATCTCTTGGTGGACTTCGGTTATCCTGCAGAGAACGAAATCAACAACAGGGAGGGAAAGTTTAATATCAGATGTCATATCATAGTCATCATCAAGTTCGTCATCCCCTCCATCCTCTTTCTCGCCCCCATCCTCTTCCTCTCCCTCAGCATCAGGCTGATGCGTAGAAGAAGGACCTGCAAGAGAGGAAGTGTGAGCAAACAGCTCAAGGTTAGTAGAAATGAACGGGTAGGAAGATGAAGTACCTGAGGGGCCATCAATGACATCCAAAAGATTGTCACTGGCGTGAGCAAAGATGTCATCGAGAGGATGGACATTTGTATACTGAGGAGTGTCGAAAGGAGCAACCTTAGGTCCAGTGGTGTGTGTCTCAGTATCAGGGAGGACAGACGCTGATACATCATCGACATGTGTAAAGACCAAAGAAGGAGGAGAAGAGAAAATGGTTAAGAAGAGACGTGGGTGTTCAGCGATGGTGGCGCTGATATTCACACCTTTAGCGATTTGGGTCATTGAGGCAGTTGGGGTAGGTACCACGAATACGACAGTGATGAGAGAAATCACTGAAGAGTTAGGTGGATTAGCTAAAGACGCCTCGGGTGTAAGGAGAGTTTCAATAGCTGAAACCTTTTTGTTAGGACTGAAAATCAGTATTAGATTGTATTCGCCTTGAAAGTTAAATATTGTCTATAATTGTAAAAGTCATCGTGTTTGACTTTTCTTAGACAGGTTTGACTTTGACTATGTTTAGATGTTTGACCATATAAATAAGAGTTTTTCTTGTAATTGCTGTGAGAGAGCTTTATTGTAATATACATTACGAAAAGTGAGGTTTGACCAGATTTATGATGTTGACTTTCTCTCTCTATCCTCATATGAATGTTCTTGAATGTTTATATCAAATCTGCCATTGTTATGAAGATTACATGAAGTTGATCAGTAAAGAGGGACACACAATTGGTATCAGAGCAGAAATGCAAGAAATCAGAAGAAAAGATCAATAGATTTGAAGATCTTTGAAGATTTTTTTTAATTTTTTTAGAGTTCTTCATGTTCTTCATTTTTTTAGAGTTTGATCCGATTTTTTTTAAAATCTTGTGTTTTCGTGTTAAAATCATGATCAAAATGTTCAGAATTGAATTGTGAATCTTTGTTATTCACAAACTTTTGTGATTTGATCATCGCATATCAAGATTTAATCGGTTTTTGTGTTTTAATTTTTTTTTCGTGTTCTTGATTTTTTTAAAGTCAGTGTTTTTGATCCATTTTTTAGTTAAATTTTTTCTATTTTTGTGTTTTTGATAGTTTTGATCTGTTTTTGGTCTTTAGATTAAATCTGTTGAGTTAAATCATTCAAAATTCAAGAGGCCCATTTTGGTTTTGGCCCAACAGACAATCTATATCTTTCTTTTTCAATCGATCAACCGGATTCTTATTCGCACAAATCAAAAGGTACAACTTGCACAAATCGGTCAGCCGGATTCATAAATCGTTCAATGATTCACAGCCAGATTCAAGGACTTTCATTCGGATTTCTTAATCGTTAAGGTAAACTTGAGCGGACATTTGACCGGATTCGATTAACTAGTGACCGGATAAGTGACCGATTTATCTAAATCGTTCGATTGGCTTGATCGGAGTCCACTTTATCGCCTGGCATCACAGGTAAGTCATTCATCCTCAATCTCAGGTTAAGGCACACCATTTGAGCGGACTTGTCCGTGTCCGGATAAGTAATCGATTGATTGGGTGATTGTTTTGTGAAAAAGACTTGAGCGGACTAATGACCGGATATCTAAATCGCTGACTAAATTGTACATCTCGTGAGCGGATAAGTGTCCGGATTCACACAACTCTTGACCGGACTATGTTAAATCGATTGAAGGTTGTCTGAACTAAAGTTCCCGTATTGTTACTCATCTGGTGTTTGTGTCAAAAGGGATTTTCATATAATTTTCTTTTAAGCTTCAAGGATTGTGAGCGGAGGTAGTAGAACAGTTCCTGTATTATTACTGTATTACAAGCTACACAGGTTTCTCTGTTAAAATCTCTCATATTAGAAGGATACTGTGTTGAGCAGTTTAGCGGGCTGTATAGTGAGCAAATTTCAGACTGTTCTAAGTTGCAGGCTTAATTTGGACAGGTTCATATCAGATTGTGCAATATGGAAGCTGATGGTAGAGTTCTCTAAATTGGATAGCAGCCTGTTTAAATCGCTCAAGAAATCAGGTGGACAAACTCAGTCAACAGTGGAGAAGAAGGTGTTTGCTGTTCTTCAAACATGCTTGCTGTCATAAGCCACTAATGCCCAGATCTCATAGGTTTAAGCAGGTTTGATCGTATTTGGACTGAATCATAGATTTAATCTGCTTATTGATGCAGTAAACTGTTTAAGCTGTGTATTAACTGTATGAATATCCTGTTAAGCTGTGTGTATTGATTTGTATTGAGCGGACTTAATAATATTCAAAGACTGTTTGATCTTTTTATCAGATTTGAGCGGACTACTGTTCTGTTCCTGCTGTTTCTTTTTGGTTTTGAGGATTGTCAGACTCTAGCAGCAACAACAAATTAGCACACAGAATCTATTTTGTCATGCAACTCTTTGGAACCTCCAAATTCACCATCTTGATAAATTGCTTTAGCTTGTTGGAAATAACCAGCTGACTCTGTGTGTATATTCTTCATTTCATGGAATTGAGACTTCAAGTACTCATTCTGAAACTTGAGCTCTACCACCATTTGCATCAGCTGATCTTGAGTATCATCAGAATTGAGGTTACTATTTGATAGAGCAGTACCCTCATTTAGATATCCACTATTTTGAGGACTCGTAGCTTTCAATTTTTCAGAATTGAGGTTACTATCACATAAAGCAGCACCCCTTGCATTCCAAGAGAAAGAGGGTTTAAATCTTCAAGCTAACAGCCTAACTGTGTTTGTGATTTGTTTGTTCAATTGTTTTAGTGACAGGTACATCAAAGGCTACTTGGAACTTTGTGACAGATTTGAAGCAGATTTTGCAAAGTTGTTTGAAGAGATTTTGCAAAGAAGTCACTAAGATTCATCWTGGAAAGGAGGATCAAGTGTGGAATGAGGATTTGAAGCCTGCTGGTTCTTGTTAAAACAATGTTTTTGTCTTAACTGTTTTTGATTAATGTGAAGCTACATTGTAGTTATATTTAGACTTGTGTTGTTAAGTGTAAAACTTTCTGCTGTTTTGGACTTGGATAGTTTTATTTTTAGGTTTATAATTGTTTGTGGTTTTAAATTTTGTTTAGATTTTACTTTTTGGATCATAGTTTATCTATTTTGTGTGTGTTTTAACTGTTTGAGAATCTTTGAACTGTTTTCCGTCGCGTAAACTGTTTTTCATCAGTTTTAACTGTCGTTGACTGTTTTTAACAGTTTTCAACAGTTGTGACTGTTTTTATTGATTTTTTTTACAGTTTTCGTCATTTTTTTCTCATCAGTTTTAGTGTGTTTTTGTTTGTATTTTGAGCTTAACTGTTTCTTATTTCTTTTGACTGATTTCACTGCATAAATCCTATATCTGATCAATCTATTTTTGAAATGGCAGTTTTTTATGCTAGAGAATATCGTGAGCTTAAAGAGAAGTATGATAAAATAAATTCACATTTTAACAAGAATGTCTCATGGACAACTCTTCTGACTAGCTATCTTGAGAGAGAGAGAAAGAAGAAAAGAAAGTTTTACAAGAAAAGCTGAGTGATCTGATGAAAACATGTGTTGATCCAGAAGAGACAGATAGGTTAAACACACAGATTGAGGACTTAACAACTATAGTGCATAACTCTGAAAGTGAATTGTTTGATGTAAGGAATTTACTGGAGTTAGAGAAAAGAAAGGTTTTAGAGACTGAAAAGGTTTTAAATGCTGAATGGAAAGTTTTAGAGAAAGAAAAGAATAAGATTATAGAGATTGAGAAAAGATTTGATTCTGAACGAAAATCCTTTGTAAATAAGATTAACTCTCTCGAGCTGAACGCAAAGATGCTGTTAAAGCAAATCTTGGATTTTGAGCAGCTTATCATTTTGGAACGAGCCAAGAATGATAAAGAAAAGAAAGACATCTCCGAAGACTGTCAGAGTCAACTACAGAAATTGTCCGAAAGCATTGATCTAAAGCAAAAGGCTTTAGATGAAGAGAAAATGCAATTTGCTCTTGAGAAAA